TCAAATGATTGAACACATGAAGGATTTAGCTTCGAAAAACAAGGTTTTCAAATCGTTTATGGGTATGGGATACTATAACACTCATGTTCCTCCTGTGATTTTTAGGAACATCATGGAGAATCCTGCTTGGTATACACAGTATACACCTTATCAAGCTGAGATATCTCAAGGTCGTCTTGAATCCTTGTTGAATTTTCAGACCTTGATTACTGATCTCACTGGTTTGCCTATGTCAAATGCTTCATTGCTTGATGAAGGTACTGCTGCTGCAGAAGCAATGTCTATGTGTAATAATATTCAAAAAGGTAAGAAGAAAACTTTCATTATTGCTAGTAATTGTCATCCGCAAACCATTGATATATGTCAGACGAGAGCCGATGGATTTGAGCTCAATGTTGTGGTGAAAGATCTTAAGGATATTGATTACAAATCTGGTGATGTTTGTGGTGTTCTTGTTCAGTATCCTAGTACTGAAGGCGAGGTTTTGGATTACGGTGAGTTTATTAAGAAGGCTCATGCTAATGAGGTTAAGGTTGTTTATGGCGAGTGATCTGTTGGCATTGACTATGTTGAAACCTCCGGGTGAGTTTGGAGCTGATATCATTGTTGGTTCAGCTCAGAGATTCGGTGTTCCAATGGGTTATGGTGGTCCTCATGCTGCTTTCTTGGCTACTTCGCAAGAGTATAAGAGGATGATGCCTGGACGAATTATCGGTGTTAGTGTTGATTCTTCTGGAAAGCAAGCTTTGAGGATGGCTATGCAAACTAGGGAGTAGCATATCCGTAGAGACAAGGCCACCAACAACATTTGCACAACTCAGGTAACTTAGTATGTGTTGTGTTCTCTAACAAAAATTGTTTTCGACTGAATTGATTTTATAAGATTGATTTTAGTTGAAGTGAGTTTAAGGTGAAGTAATTTATGTTTTGATCACAAAATCTTGTGTCATATGACTAGCACTTTTAATAAATTTCAGAATTGGTTATATGCTAGCTTTAAAGTAGAATAGATTTTGGTTGAGGATTTTATTTGATTCTGGTTGGTTTTGTTTAGGCACTGCTGGCAAACATGGCTGCTATGTATGTTGTATATCATGGACCTGAAGGCCAACTCTCGGTCCTTCCCTGAGCTCCGAAATCCATCTGCAGGGTGGAACGCCACCGCACAATCATAAGCATTTCTCTCTTTCTTCAGAATCATTAATTTGTATTTGTTCATTTTGTTATTCTGTTCACTTAATCTCTCCCTTGATCTCTTTGTCTGTTTTTCTGGTATAAAATGAACATTATCAAACCTCATTGAGCTTTGTAGCTTCAACTTCATTAGTGCGTTCTTTGAAACTAGATTATTAGAAATTCATTTAGGGATTTTAGCTAGAATTTCAAGATGTATGGTTCGCGCAATTTCACTTACAGAAAAGTTCCTAGAACTGTGTATGCTTGTAGTAGTAGTTTTGTACATTCAAAGCTTTTGTTCGTTTATTACTATAATATTATGTAAATTTCTCATTGCTGTTACAGTCTTGACAATAGTTAATTTAGTCGTTATCAACAGTATCATTGTATGAGTATATTATCATTTTCAGTGAGAAGTCAGTAGTTAGTCATTGTATTACTTGGATTCCATCCTATAGCTGCCAAGAAAGTTCATATTGATGGAACCACGACCCATGTTGTTTCTGGTATGTTTTTCTATGCTTTGGAAATTGGAATGTGCAGTTAGTCATTGTATTACTTGGATTCATCCTATAGGAGTACCATTGTTGGTGGACAGTGGTCTTATGCATAATTAAGTCTTAATAGTGAGTACAATTTATTATCAATTTGATTTCTATTTTTCAAAGACTTACTATCAATTTAATCCCTAATATTAAATATTGAAAGACTAAAGTATTAGAAAGTGAGAACTGAGGATGATGTAAGAGAATTATACGTTATTCTAATTTTTAACCTTTTATTCAGAAAAGTTGGTTACAACAACACATCTAATGAACACATGACTGAATACGGTCTACATATTGAAACTAAACCTCAAGTTTCAGAAGTTGTAGCATATATTGAGAGGCAACCTCCTACTGAGGAATCAGATATTGGGATTGATGCCGCTTTTGAGGTCAGTGTTGAAACTGAAACTAAAGACGGAGGTTCTCAAGCGGAAGTAGAGATGGATGTTCTGCAGCGATAGAAATAGTTTTAGAACCACTTGCTTTCGCACCTCCAGATGCAGCAGGGTCAAGTTTTGAGCACATGACTGAATGTGGTCTACATACTGAAACTGAACCTCAAGTTTCAGAAGCTGTAGCATATATTGAGAGATAACCTCCTACTGAGGAATCAGATGTTGGATTGATGCCGCTTCTGAGGTCAGTGTTGAAACTGAAACTGAAGATGGAGGTTCTCAAGTAGAAGTGGATATTAGGCGCAGATTATCCAGATAGCGAAGCTGCAGATTAGGAAAAATGTGAAGTTGATTCCATCGAGAAATGTGCTACTTTTGTTGATCAAAGTTTTCCTGCGAGTAGTTGAGGAATAAAGACAGTTTCACTTGGTTTGTATGACTTGTGGTGTTTAGGTCCAAATTAGGTAGCACAATGAGCTCAAATCAGTAGGTTATATTGGTAACTCATGTGTGTGGAGCGACATCAAAGGCAGCATCCTGTAGCAGCAAGAAGATGCCCCAAAGTATGTTTTTATTCTCATTGGGTGCTATTTGATATATGGATCAAATGATGTCATAATGTCTCAATCACATGCTACCTTCATAGATAGACTATTCATATTTAACTGCCTTAAACACCAATATCCTCTACACATGTACATGTGTGTGCCGGCGAATGTTGGTTTCGTACATCCTTGCATCTATGTTCTAAACCACTTTTCTTTATAATATTTTGGACATGTATTTGTGTATGCTTGAATACTCTGTTATTTATATACTAAATCTTGATCTTTTTGGTATTTCCCTTTTCATGTGGTATGGCTGCAAGACTATAAGTTGGGTGTTTTGTATTGTGTTCTCATTCTATTATTAGCTATTATGGTATATGTTAGTCACTGGTTTGATTTTGGACGTAACTGAAACTTATTGGTTCTGCAATACTGAATTCAACATTATCGAATTGTTTTGCACATATGGAAATTAAAACCATGCCTGCTACGCCTTGGAGAGAAAGGTGAAATGCACGTGGTAAGCTTCCATTTTGACCGTCATGCTACTTTTTCAGGGCTCTGTTTTTTATTCGCTACACTTTACATATCCCAAAAACAGCTTCATTTTGCAATAGATCTTGGTTCAATTACCATTAATCTCTACATATAGTAAATTAATGATACACGTACAACTGTGATTAGAGCTTGCGAGACCTCTACAACAGCTTCAAGACAATGCAAGAAGGATAGCAGAGGTGCTCTATCATTTAACTTAATTTTTTTGTGAATTTGTGAAATAAACTATAACTGGAATTACTCTATGGTTATTGATACAACACGAAGGCAAATTGGAAATAAATGTGAATGAGTATGTTGAATCAACAGTAAAGCCATTCTTGATGGATGTAATATACTTTTTGGTTATTTGCTCTCTTAATTCATTTTTATTGATAAAAAAATTAAGCATGTTTGAAACTGAATTTTAAAGTGATTTAAGATTGTGCTTTCTTAATTAACGATTTTAAAATTCAAGTTTGCCTACCTTGGAGATATCTTTGTGATTTCTTTCCAAATTATGTATTAAGAGTTGTATAAGAATTTCAAACATGTTAAACTAGTGAGATTTCCTTCTTAACACTAGTATCTAGATAGTTAAAGCATAATGTCTTTTTGCTTCTGAATTTTATGTGTCATTTACTTATTATCTATATTTTGTTGCATGTACTTTTGTTCTTTGGTTGTTTTTTTTTTAAGGAGAAGACATGGAATTATTTGTGATCTTGATAAATTGATTGAAGGAAAACACATGACATGACATAATTGCTATCTATTGAAAAACAGGGTCAGCATCTATAGATTCTACATACACATGATTGTTATCTTCTCCATGGAAACACATTATTGTCATCTTCCTATTGCAGAGAAAACCAAGACAGTGATAGAGAAAGCCAAGTGTGCGGCTGTTCAGACAAAGGATGTTACTGTAGATTAAGGGAAGTCTGATGCAAAGGATGTTGCACCAAAGGATTCTCAACCTAAGTTTCTCTTCTATATATTAAAACCTTTTATTACACTCTTTCTCATTTTATTATATATAAGCTACAAATTGAGTTTTGATTTTAGGAAGGTGAAGAAGTCTTGCCATCATTAGAAGGTACCAACGAGAATGTGAGCAACTATAAAGATAAGTTTTGTTTCCATCATCAGAAGGTGAAAATATGAGGTATGCAATTTGGTGCTATAGAACTTAGCGTAGTAGATTTCGAACAAACACTTGTGTTTGGTTGAGCAGCACTTTGCTGCCACAACAAGTTTAAATCTCTATTGCCGTAAAAAAATCTCCAAGCTACAAATTGGAGAGTTGGATGATTGTGAGTTGCCATTATGACTTTTGTAGCATCCCAAACACACTATATTCAATTGGCAACATTAATTGAATGTAATCACTTATCTCAGTGACCGACGCGTGTTGGATACTAGAGAAGTCCTTAATTCGAAGTGTCACTGCCGTATAGATTGTAAGCTAATGTTGTGAAGAGATTATATCTTGTATTTCTCTTTTACAATTAATTCAACTTCTCTTTATGGAAAATGGTTCTAGTCAAAGTTTTTAATTGTAGTTTATAACTGCAATTGTGACTATTTTTCAGCTAGTTTCTACTTCTTTAAGAATGATCACTACTGTGATTTAAAACTTTGGTTATAAACATTTCAGTTATGTTAATTCTAATTCATATTGTTTTGTTTGATTCATGGTATCATGTTGTGATCCTAACTTAGATGAGTCTTAATATCCTATTGGATCTTGGGTATCAGCACTCATATTGCCAATCTCTTAGACATACATAGCCATGATGGGTTCTCAAGGACTTACTGACGCATCAAAGATAGCCATTTTGAATGCAAACTACATGGCGAAACGATTGGAGGCTCAAGCTTTGTCATAAATTACATTTGTTTTATTTTCTTGTTAGTTTCATGCACGATGAACCTTGGTCTTATACTTATACTTTGACTTCTATAGAGTTATTATCCAGTTCTTTTCCGTGGAGTCAATGGAACAGTTGCTCATGAATTCATTATTGACTTAAGAGGATTTAAGGTTAGACCACTTGATGATTGAAATTGATTTTCGAGTAATATTATGATTATTCAAGCTGTGATTAATTGTAAGGTATTTCCGTTGTAGAATACTGCTGGAATAGAGCCCGAAGATGTTGCGAAACATCTCATGGACTATGGATTTCATGGACCAACAATGTCATGGCCTGTGGCTGGTACACTCATGATTGAGCCTACTGAAGGTGAAAATTTGGGTTGTTATGGTTCTGAGGATTCATATGTGAGAAGGTTGAATTGTGAAGTAGACATTCATATGTGAGAAAGTTAAAATTAGTGTTGTAGTGTTTGATGCTGTTATTAGATTAATTGAATTTCAATTGATCATTCTCTACCGAGTCGGTTTTGTTTCAATTTAAATTTTGGTGCGAATTATAGTTGTTGTGCTATATGTTTGAATTGTTGCGTATGCGATTGGTTATTGTATACATGCTATGTGTGATGTGGTTCAAAAATTAGAGAATGCAAGGTTAATGACTGAAATTTTTTTTATGTTAGTGTTAATTGTGTGAATATCACGAATATTGATGATTGCCATATTAATGTAACCTACAACAGCTGTATTATCAATCTTAAATTGAGTGCAGATTTTTTTTTTAAAAAATATTTGCAACTTTGCGGCGGTTCAAACCGCCACAATGTACTATAGTTTTTTAAAAAAATATTTGCAACTTGCGGCGGTTCAAACCGCCACAATTTACCATAGTTTTATAAAAATATTTGCAACTTGCGGCGGTTCATACCGCCACAATTTACCATAGTTTTTTTAAAAAATATTTGCAAACTGCGACGGTTAAAACCGCCACAATATACTTTTACAATAAAAACAAAAATCATTAAGCAAGTTAAGACGGTTGAAAACTGTCACAATATGGAGATTACGACAGTTAGCTACCCGTCGTGAAAATAACGACGGTTTGTACGACAGTTTTCAGAACCGTCGCAATACGGCCCCGCGACGCACGTTTCCGCGACGGGATTGAAACCGTCGTAACTTACAAATTGCGACGGTTAAAACCGTCGTAATCTATCAAAATGAACCGTCGCAATTTGCCATTTTTCTTGTAGTGAAAATTGGATATCAAGCTATTAATTAACTTGAACCTTAATTCTTTTACAACCGAACTTTAATTTATCCAAAGGAAAGGTCTAAAGAAATAAAAACCCTTTTCGCGATGTAAAACAACGTTAAGAGATTCGGGGAGTCGGGGGTTGGTTATACTTAGGGAAGGTGTTAGCACCCTAAATATCTGTAGTGCTCTACAGGAACCTTTTGTTTGATTGATTGCTAAGTGTGAAATATGCTAAGATTTTTAGGATTGGGAGTTGAGTGCAAAGATAAGTAAGGGCCTAAGTGGTTTTCCAAGTTTGCTCGCAAAGACGTCGCATCTTCTGCCTACGTATCCTGACTAGGATAGAATTAGAGCAATCGTAGTTCACCTCACAAGGGAAAAGAACACTTGATAATGATCAAGGTTCAAGGGGGAACAAACATGACAATGTTTGTATGGATTTTGACAAAACTCCCTAATCTAAGTTGTAATATAAAAGGGGAAAGTAAGAGATCATGACAATGATTCTTACACAGAGTTGACAAACTCTTTCCTAGGGTTCTAGTTGAAGAACACTCCTAGTACATGTGGGTTTCTTAGACTCAAAGCAAAGTCTAATGGCTTATAAGCTAGGGTTAAAGTGACTTGACAAAGTCAATAGAAGGTGAAAGAATTATTCTTGACATGAGGGTCAAGTGGACAGACTTTCCTTTGGAGGGAGACTGGGGAGGCAACTGGATGAGAGCTAACAATCTTCATCACTTGGGGAAGAAAAATAAAAAGGAAAAGCAACAACATAATAATGATGCATTCATGGTGACAACCATTAAATGAGCACATGAAATTGATGAGAATGGAAATGCATGGATTACAATCAAAGCAGGTAAGCAGAACAGGAAATGTGACGACAGATCGAGTTCAAATAAATTCAACAGATAAAGTGACATGGACATGGTAACAACCAAAAATGAAACTTTAACATGTTAACAAACATTTAAGGATGAGAATGCAAACAAACATCACAAAAAATCACAAGTACATCAAGAGAAAATTCATCTGCATCTATCAGGACGAACACAAAAAGCTCACAACTTGCACACAGTCAAAAGAGATGAAATTTTTTTCAAACATGGAAATAAAAAATATGACATGAAAGTACACATTAAGAAGAAAACAATTCAAAAAGAATGGGTAAAAATGATTAAAATTGAGAGAGATATGATTTTTCAAAGTTTGGTGAAAAATGACAAAAAATAATAAAAGAGTTGCCCTCCTCAGGTACTAGGCGTGCAAGGCGTGTTTGGCATAATGGTCTTACCACTGAGGTGGCTATACATCCATTGATGTAAGCCACCCCTTTAATATATAAGGGATGCACAAAAAACCAGGCTTAGGCAAACACAAGGCAGATTTCATGATTTGCATTTTAGGCATAACTCTCTCAATTCTCAACCTTTTTTGACATAATTTTAGTGTAAACTGGGTGTTTTTGAACAAGGAACAAGATGGTTCTTTTAGATTTTCAAAATTCTTTCTCCAATGAAAAACCCGATAGCATGTTCATTTTTTGGAGTTTGATGCATTTTCAAATGATACTCATGTTACAGCTAGCTCCAAACCAAAATAATTATGTACACAACACATATGAATGATAATGAATGAATCTAGATCAGACTTATGGCTGAAACTAGACTGTGGTGAAAAGTCACATGTGAATTGCAAAAATAACATGAATGATATGCATGAATTAAGGCAGTTCAGCTTCAAAGCAGGTTTTGATCACAACAAACATTCATATACATTGAATACAAGCTGGTGGATGAGATTGAGCAAAGATTAGGGGTCTGCACTGATTATTTGTGAAATGTTATGTTCAAAGTGCATATGGTGTGTGTGCAAAGCATGAAAATGTGTTGTTCATATTACAATTGGTTTTTCATTAAACTAATCATAGGCACATGTCATATAGGGGCTCATGAGTGAATACAAACACACATTAAATTTGAAAACAACCTGCTATGAGAAAATGGTGATCAAGTGGAGGCTTGTGCTTGTGAGATGCATGAACATACTTAGGTTCAGTTCTAGACATGCTTATACTAAAACAATCATACACACACAATACATTTATGATATAGAATGATTCTGAACACATTTTGAAACCAAAGAGAAAGCTGTCATGAAGATGGCACTCAATATGCAATTGTGTGTGTTAAAGTGTATGAAAATGTTCAGTTTTAGTTTAAGACATTTGTAGATCAAATCAGACATACATACATCACATATATGTGTCATCAAGTGAACTTGAACATCAAAATAAGTTGGCTGAAGGATGAGATGAAAAATGGCTTATAAAAATGCAAATTTGTCAAAGTGTGAGTCATGATGAAATGGAATTCTAGTTTTGTGCATATTCTGGTCCAACTAGCCATGTTCACAGCACATATACATAACATAGAACAAGTTTGAACACAATTTATAATCAAAGACCAATTGTTGCAAGAAAGTGGTGGCAGACATGCAAATGTGTAAGTGTGAATAGCATGAGAATGAGAAGATCAGATTACAGTTTGTTTTCCATAAGACTCAGCATACACATCTCATATAAATGCTAGGAAATGATTCCACATCAAGTTCCAACTCAAAAAACAAACTTTTGTGCAAACTGGTGTGTGAGGTGTTCATGCAGCAGTTTTTGATGAAGTAAAGTGCAGGGCAGTTGTTCATTTTTAATTCTGAGCATATCTAAGCCAAGGCAAGCATACATACATAACACACTCATGATATTGGATGATTTTGAACACCACTTGAAACCAAAGAGGAGGCTGTCATAAAAAGGGAACTCAATGTGCAATTGTGTGTGTTAAGTGCAACAGAATTTGTGCATCTTAGTTTTAAGCATGTAATGACCAAATGATTCACATACACACACCATAAATATGCATATAAGAAAGTCTATGCAAGTAAAAGGTCTTAGAACACGTTGTCACATAAACTGACATGTGAGTTGCAAGATTAGTGAGTAGGATGCATAATGAGATGAAGTTCTAGTTCTAGGCATGTCCTGATCCAATTAACCACATACACAACACACATGCATGACATAGGATAAGTTTGAGCACATTTTAAAGCATAGGACAAGCTGTTATAACAGGTGATGACAGAATTGCAAAGTTGGCATTCTTGATACAAAAAAAGGCATCTTATGAATGAAAAAACACATCAAATGATAATAACTCAAACTAATCACACATACACCACACAATTATGTTTTTAAAAGGGTCTCAAATCAATCTAACGGCTACCTTCATGTTATGACAGAATTCAGACATAAATCACACATGTCATGCTTTTTACATTAGGAGCTCAAAATGCTAAAAGGTGGAATTATGGTGTAAAGAAAAAAGGGATTGTTCACATACCTCTAGTAGCTTGATTTGAGTGAGTTTAAACACCAAGAAACCCAGAGAAACTTCAAGTGCTCCTCAACTTTGAAAGGTTCCTTCCTTGTGAAGTAACAAAGCAAACTTTAAGACAAGTGGAGAAATAAACTCCACCAATGACCCTTGATGTTTTGGACAGTTGAGGAATGATATATGAGAGGTGTTTGAGTGATTAAAACACCAAGGAAATGCTTAGAACAAGACTTGGTAGAATTTGTGGCTTTTGGTCAAAGTAACTTGGTGGAGAAGTTGACTTTTTGATTGGTGAAGTTTCTGGGTGGTTTAATGGTTTAGACACCTTCTATACCATATTTGGAGATTGTGTGGATGGTTTTTGAAGTGTTTGAATGTAGGGAAAGGGTTTTGGCAGCCCTTGCACCAAGACAGATTTTTGAGCTTTTTTGTGAAAATGAGATTTTATGGTTTTGAAGTTTTGAGTGCAAGAGCAAAAGGACAGAGGTTTCTTCTGGTTTTTAGAATGTATTTTGTGTACCAAATGAGGTGGGGAAGGCTCCCTTTTATAGGCAAGTGGAGTGAGGGGATGATTTAAAGATTTCTTCACTTTGAAGAAAGGTTTAGGCACATTTTGAACAAACCTCCTCAAGAGGGTTTCCTTGGATGCAAGGCAGGCCTCTTTAGTCAATAAAAATGATGAATTTTGGTGGCTAATTGCAGGCTAGGGGTATAACATTAAGGCTGGTTCAGAACCACTTTTACACCTCATGCTTGTTATTACTTTTTGAATGCAAGTTGCTTTGCAACTTGCA